GGGGGGGGGGGGGGGGGGGGGGGGGGGGGGGGGGGGGGGCAAAGAGATATTCCTTATTGTAATGTCGGGGACGGTGCAGCTGGTGGCACCAGCCTCCACATTCATTCCAGTCTAAGCGTTTTTGCCCATCAAACACAAATAAAGCACAAAATAAAACACAGCTTTCGCACCATCCCTTCATTTAAGATCCAGCTTTTTTCATCCTGTACGTTTGCAGACAATCAACAGGAGAACGGCATGTGACACACACACACACACACACACATACACACTCAGGGCTTTTCCGTGTTTATGGTGTGTCTCGTGCTCACGAGAAGGCATTTCCTCCGAAGTCATGCCCTGTTTCCAGAACACTTACACACCAGACCAGTGGATGCACTGGAAGAGAAAACCGTTAAAGACAAACAAACACACAAATATGCAGGAAAAAAAAAAAAGAAAAGAAAAAACAACTATGCGCTACACGTCAGAAAAGCATTCATAAGGGCGTAAAGCCTGGGGGGGGGGGCACGGAACTGGAGCATGGGCGCAAGCTTCTTCCCCTCGAGGTATTTAAAACTAAACAGCAGCAGCGAGCTGGGGGGAAGATTTTGGGGGGCGGACGTGATTGACTTGGCTGTGGTTACACTATCGTTAAACAGTCATTCCGATCCCTGGTGCGGCGTTCTCAGACAGCGGGGGCCGGTCTCTGTCGCAGCAGGGCTCTGGTGACCGACCGGGACTGGGGGGTGAACAGAACTCGAGCCCCTGGGTGTAGGGGGGCTATTTTAGAGCCGTCTGCGGGGGCGTTTGAGAGCACCGCGGTGCTCCCACACGCTGCCCATTCACCACATCAGCTCACTTTTTTCCTCTTTAGACATCTCAAAATGTCATTTGTGATGCCACATTTTCCAAACTACCTGCTCAGTTACAATGTAACAAGAAAGACAAGTAAAGTGCTTCACATGTATATCAAACACACACACACAGACTCTCCCATCCGTCTCTACGGGGGCTCAACACTAGAACAACTAAAACTCATATTTCAAATGTAAACGCGGTTCCCCCTGTCGTGCCGAGGTCCTCAGGTGATTAGAGCATATAAAGAGAGAATCAGGGTGTGTCCACACACACACCAGCGCTTCTGTTCTCTTCTGGGGTTGATGCATGGGCACAGACACAGGAGAAAAGGAAGTTCTTTTACAACTGTGGACCAGAGCAAATTTGTCTTTGGATTCTGGCAGCCGTTGGTGGGTGACGGAGGGAGGGAGATTTAGAAAGAAAAGCGGGGCCCACATAAAGAAAGAAAGGAAGCTTAAAGAAAGCGGAGAAACAAATGGAAAGGAGAAAATAATGAGGATGAGTGAGTGTGAGAAGAGCCGGGACGGCTTTGGAATGGGAGGCACTGAATGGGAAGGGGGCGGAAAGGGGACGAGAAGAAAGGCGGAGGCTGGGGAAAAAGGAACCTGAAATTTACAGGGGGAGAGCGGGAAGGGGGGAAGAAAAAAGGAAAGAGCGAGAGAAGGAGTCAGGCTGGCGTCCCTCCCTGTGGTCGGAGGAGAGAAGTCAGCGTTCCCACTGTGGCTTTAGCCCTCCCTCTGCCCTGCTCTACTTCCCCCCATCAGAATGCCAAACTACTTCCTGCGACGCTGTGTGATGTTCCTGCCAGGCAACAACGCGCACACACACACACACACACACACACACACACACACCCTCCAAAAGAGCCCATCAAAAAAAATATCCCTTAATATGCACGCATGCATACTACATACATTACATTCAACAGGCTGTGATCTGTGGGGACAAGGCCGGGCTTTCTTAACACACTCACACACACACACACACACACACACACACACACACACACGTCCCTGAAATCTGCCAGCTCCTGCGTGGGAAGAGCAAAAGCCCGGGAGAGCGCTGCTGATGGGAGGCAGCGAGTGGTTAGAGGATGTGTAATGTCTGCTGCTGCTGGACAAAGTGAGCTCCGGGGCTTTATTGTGGTGGTGTGACAGCCTATTTATTTATTCATAGTTATTACATAAGGGGTCAGAAATGTGAGGGAAAGGGCAGAGCACTTCTATTCCGCGGCCCAGGAGCCGCGTCGCTTATTTCCTAACACGTCGAAAACGAGGTCAGAGAGCCAAAAGAACCATTAGTTTGGTCGCCGATGAGACTGACTCATCCGCCGTCAAATTATTTATTATTTTTTCTTCAAGGAGAGAAATAAAAAAAAATCTCACTGCTTCACTATTTTTTTTCCCTTTCTTTGAAATATTCTGTACCTAACTACAGGCTAATGTATATATCAGATCTAAATTAAATTAATTTAAATTCCGCATAATGTCCATATGTTCTTTCCTCTGATTTACTTGTGCAGGTTAGGTGTAAAAGTAGCTTAACTTTGTCTTGCTTCAGTGGCTGATCCATAAAAAACAACAACAACAACTGCCTAATCAGACTAATACAAAAAAAAAGTCTCCATGATTTGGGAAAGTTTACTCTGAGTGTAAACATGTAGCTCACTCTGCCTGCAGTGGATCCCTGAATATGTTCTGGATGTCCAGCTTCACGGACCAGGCTGAGAGAGTGAGTGTGTGTGTGTGTGTGTGTGTGTGTGTGTGTGTGTGTGTGTGTCTGCATGCATACTCACCAAGGAGGCCTTTGAATTGGCGGAACCTGTTTCTGTCAGCATGTTAAAACTCTTTCGAGTAAAAACCAATCGTGTTGGGAAATATTGGACTCTGGCATTACAACTCTCACACCGTTTCACTGTGGGGGGGGGCGCTCTCACCTTGAGGGGGTGATGGGAGTCAGGTCCTTGCCCATGGTCTGGATGACGCGGCGGCCCCACACCCACAGCCCGGCGCAGATGCCGATGCCGCCGTAGAACAGCAGCCACACCGGCGTGGCGGCGTCCTGCATCACGCCGCCCTGGTCGTAAATCATCCACAGCGCCACCAGGGGCCCGATGGCGTTGCTGCGGACAAGAGAAGAGCGCGTTCCCCTTTACTCCGGCCGTGAAGCACAGGCTCGGGTCCGACCCGCCCGCATGCGAGGGAGAAGCCTCACCTGACGTCGTTGCCTCCGTGCGCGAAGGAGCCGAAGCAGGCGGTGAGGATCTGCAGGAAGTGGAAGAGCAGGAACACCTCCGACGTGTCCTTTTCCTCGTGGTCCTCCTCCGCCAGGTCGTCCAGGGGCACGGGGGCCGGGGCGCCCTCGCCCTCCGCCCCCTCCAGCTCGGTGGCCAGCTTCATCTCCACGCCGCCCTCCTCCGCCTCGATCTCGGCCTCCGCCACCGCGTTGCAGTAGGACGAGTAGCTGTCGTAGCGGATGCGCTTCTTGGAGTAGGACACGCTGTTGCTCCGGCCCCCCGCCTCGCCCACCAGCTTCTCGCTGTCGTCGCGGGACTCGGAGCGGATGAGCGGCTGGACGGGCATGCCGCAGATGGCGGCCGTGTAGCAGGTGTAGCTGTTGTTGCGGCGCAGCAGCCGGTAGTTGTTGTCGGCGGGGCCGGCGGCGGAGGCCTCGCGCTCGCCGTCGTCCATGCGGCCCAGGTGGATTTTGTGCAGCAGGTCCTTGTACAGGCCCGAGTCCTTGTGCACGGTGTGGTAGACCTGGCCGTCGCTGCGCGTGTGCCCGTCGAAGCTGAAGCTGCCGTTGGAGACGGGGGACTTGAGGCAGCCGTTGGTCATCGAGTGGGTCCGGCCTGCGGGGGAGGGGGGGAGACCGGGGCGTCACGTCTCCGCTCGGGGGGGGACGCGCTCGCTAAAAGCCCCGGCCGCCCGGCCTTACCGTAGACGCGGCCGTTGGGCAGGACCGTGCCCCCGTTGGCCATGCTGCTGAACTCGCCGCCCAGGTCGCGGGCGCCGCGGTCGCCGCCGCCCCCGGTCAGCGGCAGCACGGCCTCGTCCGTGCCCTTGGCCCCCGGCAGCTCTTTGAAGACGGGGCTCTCCTCCTCCTCTTCGGGGATCTTGTCCAGGCTCTCGTCGGAGATCCTGGACAGGGCCTGCTCCTTCTTTAGCCGACCTGAAGGACCCCCAGCCATAAGTGAGCCTCCTCACACATCAACCGTCCTCTAAAAAGAGGCAGCGCTCATACTTCGGGAGAATAATGCCGCCGTTGTTGGGAGAAACGCGCCGAGAAAAAAAAAAAAAGATCTGCGTGGGTTCCAGTTTGAGCAACATGATTAATTCAAGTCACAAGGCCGGTCAGTGGGACTATGATTTAAGAAGCCTGTAGTCAAGTAACAGTGACCGCACACACATTCCACAAACACATCCGGCCATCAGCTGATCCATCCTAATCCCGCCGCTGATTCCCTGGGTGCCCCGTTACTTCTCCAGAACACAAACGATCTCAGCCGTCACGTTTCGTTTCGAGGGGTAGGCAATATCCAGATTAGGACGATAATGTCGCAGATAATCCTCAAAGGCATTCTCGAGTTATGACATGTTAAGCAACAGGTCAAGTCAGCCTTAATGCCTGTGTAATGTCCACAGAAACACAGGCTCTATTTTAAGTCTGCACTTAGAAAACAATGCTTCAATAGCACTCAGACTCAGAGTTAACGAGTCCCATAAAGTTTTATCTCAACCTGAGTTTACTCCATTATATCTTTTTATTATTTAGGCTGGTCAGTTTGAGTAAGGGTTATTTCGGATCCTATCGCAAAAGCTACACCCACCGCTTTTTTTCCATATATGATTCCATTGCTTTCATGTTTTATAGAGTCACCTGCTTTGCTGTGGGCTGGTTAGCCCATTAGGAGACGCAATTTTGAACTTTTTCTGACCCCTTTTATACTGCAGGGCATAGAAACCTTTTTCATTTCTCCTCAGAAAAAAGAAAAAAACAAACGGGGGGCAGAGGCTGTGGCTTTCGGACATATACCTACTTGCTATTTTTCTCCTCATCCAAGGACAGACGACGAACCAGACCACAGCTGCACAGACGATTGAGCCGGCCAGAGTGATGAGGAAGATGGCCCACACCGGTAACATCTCTATCCCCAGCACTGCAGTTCACAAGCAAACACGGGTTCAGATCGCAGCTTGGAAGGGGTTTACAATTACAGTACTGAAAACAAAAGTCCAGCCCTCCTGGACTTACGAGGGGCTCCGGTGTACATGATGGAGAACGTGTTGATTCCAATGGTGCAGGCGTAGAAGAGGGGCAGCGCCCGCAGGCCATTGGGGACAGAATCCTCCTGTGCAGAAAACACACCCACGGGTATCTAATAAGATGCCTCAAAAGCATCGGTGCATGAAAACAATTAGAACTGATCTGTTTGCTGAGTTTAGAGGGCCTGGGGAGCACTGCCCGTTTAAAAGTTCACCGATTATGGATGAAAGCCAATGTAAACTTAAACCATATGTCCCTTTTAGAGTCTTACAGTATTCACATTTGAAACAAATAAATGATTATGTGGTGTAAACCTAAACAGGAAATCATTGTTGGGTTCAGCCCAGGTTATAAACCGTCTCATTCGGCGACCTGCCGACACTTCTCTGCTCCTGCCCTGCCACAGATGAGGCGTTACATAAGCACACATCTGCATGTGTTGCCAAATCAAATGGCTATTATCTGGACTGCAGTTCTTTGGACAAGTCGTGTGTACATGAACGCATGTGTTTAACGTTTAGTACTTAAACTCAGAGCTGAAGCATGTACATTGAGGGAGGGCGCTTCCAAGTAAATCAAGGAATTATGCACGTATGCATAGAAATATCCACGGCACAGTGGTAAAACTTTAATTTCAGTCTTTCAACTTCATATTCTAAACTTAATGAATAAATAAAGCAACAGAAAAGTTTGCATTCATTTGTGTTTGAGTGATGTTTGCCCACCTTGTTGAGGATGAAGTGTCTGATGAGCATGAAGAGGAGCCCGGACATGAGCCCAGACAGCAAAGGGGAGATGAACCATGAAGACACTAGGACAGGAACACACACACACACAAAAAAAACACACTGTAAGACAAAGACTGTCAAGTTTTTCACTCATCCAGGCTTTCCTTCACTTTCTGAAGAGAAGGGGATTAGAGTTCTCTGTTGTTTTTTCGTTAGCTGAGGTCATATAAGACTTTACTAGAATTTTAAGTACCCCGTCTTGCTTTGTGCTGCTAAAATGAGCTTTAATAAGACAGAAATTGCTTCATCTGAATAAATAGCTTGCGGTGCAAATGGAAAAGGGAGCCAGGGGAGTCATTCCATCTCACAACCAAATCTGACACGATGACCCCTTAGGTTTTACTGAGCTCATTTCTAACCGCCTCAGAGGGGCTCTATTAGGACAAACTCAATAACAGTGTTATTAATACATATTGGTGCAGGCATCTCCTACAGTTATTACCAATTTTAACAAGCTGCATCCACTGTACGCCCCTTGTTCCGATGGCCACCATGGAGAAACCGATGGTGGCTCCGACAATGCAGTGGGTCCCGGAGATGGGCAGTTTGAGGAAGGAGGCGATTAGCTGCCAGACTGCCGACCCTGCGACCAAAACAGACACATAGATCTTAAAGCAGCTGCAATGCATTCAAACTGTAGAGCCACACAGGGAGGAACTTATTTTCTTGTAGCTGAGTGCTGTTTGTGTTTTGCCTCCACTGCTGGATTAAAGACTGAAACAGGTCATCTCTTAAATTAGGACCTATGCTCTGTTTGGTTTCACTTCACATCATTTCTAGATGTCAACACAAAAATGGGTGGACTGCTTTACGTTTCTGTATAATTTGAAGGCCACACAGCCACTGCCCTTCAACCCAGACCAGAGCATCGTATCTGGCATGGAAAGAAACTGATGTGGCTATAGGGCACGTGCATATCCACATGTGGATCAGAGTAAAAAGGATGTGTAAACACGCACTGATAATGAAGGCTTGTCTTGATGATGGAGAGGCAATATATAAGCACTTCCCACGGGTAAACTTGTTCAAAAACAAGTGACTCCATTGTTTCACCAAAGAACAAAAGAGACTTTGCCCTGTGATGGTGGGACTGGGAGCTTTTAGAAATTAGACACTGACTGTACACACTGAACTGAGTCTCGTCCGTGCCCTCTGGTCAAACATCAGGTCAGACATTTCTGCTTTCATCTAATAATATGAACTCCTTTCAAATTCTCAGGATTCTGCATAAACAACACATCAAGTGGCTAAAGTGTCCCATAACATTCATCTGCCACCTTATTCTGACATTTTCCTGTCAATCCCCTGAGCATCGTGTCCCATTCAACAGTCTCTGCATCGTACCTTCGTTTCAATCTGACCCATTGTTCTCTGCTCCTCCGGCTTACTGAAACATGCCTGAGCTTTGCCGTAATTATCTTTTTTGATAGAGATGAGAGATTAGCTATTAATATCAAAGGCTTTTAAATGTCATCTGAAAATAAACGCAAACACTTTGATCCCCTTTGTCATTGAGTTCATTTGGAACTTTTCAAAACAGGTTTTACTCAATTTAAAAAACTGAGAGTTACTTAATTTAGAAGCAGATGCACAATGGTTTGGAGCAGAGGGTCAGGTAGATAGATTAGCCCGTCTCCATGGCTACACGCACTTTTCAAAGGCCATTTACTAGGACTACATCTCGTATTTAGAGAAGTTACTGTTGTCAAATGGCAGAAAAGTCTGGAATGGTTTCAGCATGCTCACAAGTCAGGACATTACAAGATGTCCCGAACTGTGAGCTAAAATGTGCTACGAATGAGGTTTTAGCACATTCGAGGGGGCGCGAGTTTAATTATCAGATGTGCAACCCTTTTATTCCCAGTGTGAGTGAGGCTGAACCTTGGATGTGATCATGTCTCCGTGTCTGACAGAACACGCTGTATCTGCTCCAAATGGGTTCAAAGCTTAAACCTGGGTTTCTGCTAATTGTGGAGGTTTTGCTTTTATCTTTTTTTAACTAAAACTAAACAAAGATGTTATCAATCATTCCTATTAATCCATTGGAGTAAACAGAAAAGTTAGCAGACTGATGCCGACATCGGCGCTCTGCGGGGTTCAAACTGTCGTAGTTTCATAACAACTCCAGCTGTCTCTGCTATGCCCCCCTGATGTTATTGCCTGATGGTTAAGAATCTAAACACCAAGTGCTGACTAAAATGCTCAGACGGAGAGACTGGAAGGATAATCACATTTTCCCGACAGCTGGAAAAGGCTAATCTGTAAGTGAGGCACAAATCACAAAGTCTCAGTGGACTTTTTTTTGCAGCAATTTGCTATTAAATATGTAAAACTCTTGAGTTCTATTATACTGTATATTCCATTAACGTGACAGGGAATGGCAGGCAGACCTGAAGGATAGAAGTCAGTCCAACTTACCAACCATGGCGCTGACCTCTCCTGCCATGAGAACAGGTACCGTTTCATTATAGAGGTTGACGTCTATTATGCCCTTCCGGATGGTCTCTCCAACTTTGGCCCCGAGCAGCATGGAGCCCAGCGTCTCAAAGATGGAGGCCAGAATGCAGGCCTGCTTCAGAGTGACCACACCGGACCCCACCGCCGTGCCAAATGAATTTGCCACATCGTTGGCTCCGACTGAAAAGGCCAGGACGAAGGCAATGATGAAGCCAACTATCACCATCCACAGATACGAGCTCAAATCCATCTTGATGCGTTTCACCGGGAAAAATATGCAAGAAAAATAAAATAAAACTAGCTTAAATATTCTTTAAAAAAAACAACAACAAAAAAAAGAGAAGTGCTCCGTGCGATTTGAGAGGAGGACTTGATTAGCCGGCTCCTTTTCTTCGTCCCCTGGTTAGAAAGAGTTCAAGGGGAGAATCACAGCCGCTAACTAAGCGTTTGAAGCACAGTCCAAAGATTGTAGACTAGTAATGGTGGGAGCAGAGAGCATTCCATAGCTTAGTGTGTGGCAGCCTGTCTGCACCGTCGTTTACCTGCCGGGGACAAAAGAGAGGAGACAGGGAAACAGATTAGTGTCATAAGCCATGATTACCTTCTATCTGATAACACCTACATGTGACTTCCTCAGAAAACCCGAAAACAAAGGAGGGGCGAAGGGGCAAGAGAGAGAGGAGCAAGAGCTTTGGGAGAAAAAAGTTAATAGACAAGTAATGGGGAAAGACGAGGACATCTTAGATGGTTTTCTAAAAGGAAATCACAGACTGCTGCTCTTAAAAACGTATCAGATCCAGGGAGCGTGCAGTCAGCACAATGACACACCACAGTCTCCGGACAGATGTAGGCCACGTCTCCCACATCAGATCAGACTTGTATGCGTCCAGCCAACAGCCGCCGTGAAAAACAAAACCCCTTAGACACGCGTTTTTGACTTACCCAGTTTCAATTTGAATCCGCCAGATTATCTCAGCATCTCTTACTTTCATCTTGCTCAGAGATGCCAGAAGTGATAATGGGGAGAATTACAAAGGATATTAAATGTTCTAACATTGTGCCTGTGAGCAGTTTGATCACGCTGATCTAATTAAAAGCCCAACATTAACACGGAGCCCCTCTCGCACCCAGACGTTTTCCTGGCAGATTACGTCGCAGTCACCCCTCTAATCTTTTGCTCTTTCGGCCTCAGCGCGGCCGCCGCAGTGCTCAGAGAATGACAGCCTAAGTTACACAACAGTTTTGTAACAAGCTTTTGAGAACAAGTTTTAAAAAAAAAAAAGAAGAAAAAACATTATTGAAGGACTTTTAGTCGAGACTGCAATGCAGCAGGAACACCTGCAGAGATGTGCCAGACAGTGTGGACAGTCCAAGAAAAAACTCAGATCGGACTCTTTAACACATATTTTGCAAACAAATCTTCCCAACAGGGCAGAGTGGGAATACGTCCAGAAACTTGCATAGAGCATGAGGAGGGCGCGAGAGCGAGTCTGCGAGCACATGTTTCCTGTTAGAGTAAAAACCCGATAAGATGAGCCTGTTGTCGTCATGACAACACACCTGTTGCCATCCACGCTCTCAGTCGTCCGCCGACTGTCTCATCACTCAGTCATATTAAAGCGATACAGCATCAGCGGGCCAGGAGAGGAGGAAAGTCCATCTCACCGTAGTTTTCACAGTCCCCGCTAGTGCTGCTGACACCGGCAGTAACACCTGTGACTCAAAACGCCTCCAACACACACTTCTGCTGCTCCGACAAAACTGAGAACGGTGTAGAAAAACACTGATTACGTCTCAACAACTTCAGCATGTTTGCTTTGGGATGTAAACAACTGGTGGTATATACTGGGCTGTGGTGAAACGCTCAGGTTGGATTAAAAAAAAACTGACCCATTATACCTGATCAGCAGGCAAACAGCTTCCTTTGTCCCTGTAAATTGTGTCATCACCAAAAGAAAAAAACCTTTAAGAAAACTCAAGGCCACCAACAGTGAGGCATCTGGTGATCTTGATAAAAAAAAAAGAAAAAGAGAGAGAGAGACAAAAACCCCACTAACAACTTTGTCTGGATTCTGTCTCCATTTTCCTTTCGTCAGTGCAACATAATCAGAGTCATTTCCATACGAGCCAATGGCAGCGCGCTTCCTTCTATGGCCACGCCGCCCGTCGGTGGGGGGGGCGTTACGTGTAAACAGCGCGGAGGCCAAACTGGTGCGTTCTCCACGCAAGAACAGACTGTGTGCTCCTCGTCTAGTGGGGGCGGGCGGCCCGTTTCTAAACAGCCCCCGGCCAGTCGCGGCTCCCTCCTCCTGGCCGAGAGCTCCATCTGGAACAGTTGAGGTCAGGCTCAGTCGCCCCCTTATCCTTTGTTGAACCAAAACACGTATGGACGCAAAAGGCGAAATCAGGATCCACACCACACGTTTCTCATTTTAGGCCCAGTATTTTTTTAATGGAAGAAATTCCAAAAACGAGTGTGTAGCAGTGCAAGTGTAAAAATCCATTTTGGTGCATAAAAAGCCAAAACTTTATAAAGTCCTCTGCAAACCGTGTGTTTTCCAGTCCATCGACAGGACGCTGTGTAAATGTTTAATGTCGGCACAACTATACCACGCAGGGACCAAACCTCTCCCCACACTCAAACATGACACTCCAAACACACTCACACACACTTACACACACACCACAGAGGTTGAGTTAGTGGAACGGACAAACAGAGAAACCCCCGGAGCATCCCTCAGCTGTGTCACATCTGAGAGGGGGGGGTGTGGCCACCAGCGCCAGTCGATTTTTGAGTTCTAAACGGGGACCCTAACCTGACAGCTGCACGCCGCGCATTCTGAGGGGCTCGTCCCTCTGAAAGGCGTGAGCTCCAGCTCATGTCCCCCCCATCCTGGTCTGAGCACACACTGCAGGCTCCTGCCTCAAGAGGGCCTTTAAAGAGGTGTCTATCAAAATGTCTTCAATCATAACGACAGTACTCACAAAAACAGCCTTTGGAATTGTGGGGTCGAAGCGAAAACACAAGTTAAATCGTATAAACCTCATATATTAACTTGGATCTCAAGCTCAAAAATCAGTTAAACTTTTCTAGGCAAAAATGGTTCTTCAGCCTTTAGGGATCAACTTGTGTCCAATAAATGACATTATGTCAATGGGGTCATTAATGGGATATTTTATGATAGAGAACTGAATCAGTCTACAGACTCCATGTCTCACCTGTGGCTTCTCATTGGTACCAGCCCTCTCAGATATGACCCTTACTCAATTTTTCTTTTTTTAACAAATTATTTTTGGTTTCATCTTTGATTCCACAGTGACAAAGTGTCTTTGAGCACGACACAACCCCCCCAAACCTGCTCCTGGTGAGCAGCCCGCAGCGTTTTACAGCAGCAGATTTTTGTCTTTTTTCTCTATTCGAGTGTGCTCCAAATAAGAAAGCTGGCCTTATAATAACACTTGAGTGGCGTACGCTGTGAAGCGCCATGCTCTCCGGCTTATTTCTGGCAGGCCCCTTTTTCTTCTTGTGGGTGTCAGGTGGCTTGTTCACTTAATGAGAGCACCAATATTAACACAACGCCGCCAAACGGGACCCAACTGGATCTCTACACACATAAAGCAAAGACATGACAAATCAGTCAGTCTCGTTGCTTAATATAAACCTAAACTGGTGAATCGCCATCCGCTCTTGGTGATCATTTTGGAAAAAATAAAACTACTTTATCTACTTTTAAAGGGACATTAATGATGAGCTTCTCTGGCAATATCACAGTTACCATGACAACAATGTAGCATCTGCTACCCAAGACAGCACTAGCATTAGCGTTAGCTTACTGTTCACCCATTTTATTCAAATGGAAGTCCTCATGGTGCCTAAAACCCCCCAAAAGTTTGTGCTGGTCAAACGTCAAAACTATAGTTTCTAGTCTGAATTTAAGTCTGAACTTTTTCTGGCTCTATCTAATATGCAGGAAAAGAAACAGCAGTAACAGCCTTGGGAAAACACAAAAAGGAATTCTTAAAAACCAGAGAGGAAAAAACTAAACATTCAGCTTTCCCCCCCGAAAGCCGATTCAATAGCTCATCAAAATGGCCGGTTCTGTCTGGCGGCGCTGCAAAAATGTTTTGGGAAAAACATGCTAGTTTCGGTGAAAAGTCGAGAAACGAGCAGTTGAAAAGCCCTGTTATTTTCCCATGAAAACCTCAGCTGGTGCAGACTATGATGACACACTCCTGCGCTGGCCATCCTGCACCAGCTCCAGCCTCTCCTGACGTGCCGTTAACCGGGTCGACGGAGACCCCTGTGCTACACCTGTGATTACTTCCCCCACCCCCTTAGTGCTCACTGGGCTGCCCAGCGGTGCCTCTGCACCACAGCTGGTGGGGGGGGGGGGGGGGCACGCGCTGCAGCCTGCGCCGACGTGCAGCGAGGCTTTCCCCCCCCCCCTCTGTCGGCAGCAGGACCGGGACATGCACACAGTGTCACATGATGACGCACGGCAGCACTCTGCTAATTGTTGCACCTGAAGCTTAAAAGAAAAAAAAAAAAAAAAAAAAAAAAAAGGGACTGCAGCCTGTGCGTCCAAGGACACGAGATCTTCACATGCAGCACACGACGCACAAAGTTGAAAGGAAGAGTTCGCGTTTAAGGGTGAAAATGAAAGGTAATGAGTAAGAAAAGTCCAGAGCCCTTCACTCTCACTCACCTTCCCGTCTCCTCGTGATGGAAGTGAATGAACGTCAGACAAGACAACGGCATTGCTAAGGAAACCGAGGGGGGGGGAAGAGGGAGGCTTGAAAAGAAAGTGCTTTGAAGGAGACGGTATGAGCATGTGACTGGTAGAAAAATAGAATTATGAGGGGGAGAGGGAAAGGGAAAATACGGTGACTGGAGGAGAGGGGAAGCAGCAAACGGGGTTCGGTGGAGGGATCAGCAGGTTGCGGTGGTGTTGCAGAGCGGAGGGGGAGAGCGCCAGCTAACGGGCGAGATAGAGAGGGGAGAGCGGAGCAGCCGGCTGAGTCTAGACTGCCTGCGAGAGAACTGGATCTGCATGCACAGCACACGCCAGCCAATGACAAATAGATGTCGGATGGAGCCGATCGGTGTCTGTGGAGAGACGAAGGGAAGGCGGCTCTGGGAACGGAGGTGGAGGGCTGGCAGGGGAGGAGGTGGAGGGGAAAGGAGAGGAAGCGGCGGGATGAGCGTTTCTCAGAGGGAAGGCTGCGGTTTGATCAAGGGCATTGGGAACA